GGTGGGGGGGTGGGGGAACAGATGGCATAATGGTTACAGCAGTGGACTCCAACATGGCCAGCTGCAGTTCAAGTCCTGAACCTGGCAGCTTGACATTCATTCTAGGCATGCACGCATGTGTGTGCCCAAGATCCTGAGAGGGAATGGAGGAGAGGGGACTGAGGCATGGCCATCACCTTTGGGGGTGATTTCTCACTTTCTCTGTCTCTCCAGCGAGCATACATGCCCTACAGCAAAAATCTCTCTCTCTCAAAAAAAAGAGGGGGTTTTACAAATCCCAATGCCCAGGGGAGCCCCTTAGGTTCATATGTTGAGAGAGGGGACCCTGGCATGATTTATACACCTCCCCCTCCATGTGACTCCATGTGTAGCCAGCATTGAGAACCATAGGTTTGGGTCATTTTAATGATGTTCCATTCCTAATCAGTTGCTATGAAGCAAATCCAGATGTTTGGGAGCCGTCTAAATGTCAAGATCAACGCCACAGAGGACAGCCACTAACTACAGTCCATGGAAATCAGTCCCTTCAGGCAGATCGCAGATACACCGCTGGGCAGAATGAGCTGTCAGGCTGCCCAGGCAGCATTTCCTACAGCTTAGCTTAGGGGTAAACTTTTGGGCATGATAAGTTAAACATACCTAGAAAAAAAAAGCACTAAAAAAAGTGAAAGATGTCAATACCGTGCCTAGAGGAGAGGCAAGCATAGATGGATATTTGACTTTTTTTTGAGTGTTCTTCTAGATTCATGGTTAATACAAGTCTGGATCCTTGAACACACACACCAAAGGGCATGTCTACATCCTGGTCTTCTCAGGGAACCTGGGTTTAGTGCTGACCTGTAGTGCTGTGAACATGAAGGTGTGATCCCAACTCATCACCTATAGATGACGTTCTCGTTATGGAGACGGCTGCCACCCACTTCAGCGGAACAAACACTTTGCATTTGGAAGGTTGCCGGCTACAGTTAGGGGACTGCGTGCACCAATGGGAAAGACCTTTGCTGTGTGCAAAGGTACTGCTCCATGCAGGAGCGACCCAGCTGGCTCCCTTGTCTTGGGCACGGGCTCTGACCTAATGGGCTTCCTTGTCTAGAAAATGCACACATAACACACACATACCTCGACACTATTACTCTGGCAAGTTGCCTTTTAAAAGGTATCTGTTACTAATTAAGTAAAAATGCAAATGTATCATATGTGGATCATTGCACTAGCTTCGAAAGCCTACATCTATGTCCTGGTACCTTTCTGCTATTTCCTGAATGGAGCAGGTGTGGTACCGTTCAGGGTGTGTGTGTGTGTGTGTGTGTGTGTGTGTGTGCATGCGCACGCACACACACACACATACACACACAGATGCTCCATGATGCCTTTGAAGGGGGGAATGCGTGGGGAGCCTATGGCCTGGACATGTCTATTTTTAAAACCCTTGGCACTCCAGCGGGGTTGTCTGTTGTCTGGCCTCCAAAAGAAACCCAGTGAAGTCACAATTTGCGAACAAGATGATTGGCCTGAATCATCCTATCTCTATTAAGAAGTAAAAGCACACATCCTATCTCTATTAAGAAGCTAAAGTAAAATCCACATTTGGGAATGAGGTGGTTGGCCCAAATATAAACACTACATGAGAGAAAGCTGCTTTCCAGAATGTTTGCTCACTAAACATTTAGTTCCACACAAGGAGGTGTTCCCGGAAAACAACGGGAAGGGCCAGAATTAATTGGCTTCTAATCTCTTTACTTTTTGCAGGATGTTTTCTCCAGCAGTGGATTAAATCAGTGTTTAATGCTGCACAGGCCCAGCTGTGTCCATATTAGGAAAGCCCAAGCTCGCATCTCTCTCTCTCTGAGAAAAGGACCTGTCCTCCCTCCACTTGCTCTGCTTGAATCCCCTGCATGTGGAGGTGGGAGAGTGGGAGCCGGAATGTGAACTTGATCCAGCATGGATCAGCCAAGCAGCAAACTTGCATTGTTCTTTAGATACCAAACATAACTTCTCTCTATCAGGGATAAACCCAGCCATTCTGTACATAACTCCGCTTTTGTGCTCACTGGTATGACAGAGAGCAAAGAACCACAGAAAACTTAGAGCTTTATTAGACTTATCATCAACACCTCGTAAGATGCAGGATTGAAGAATCCATCTAATTCAGTTAAAGTCATATTAATATTTGGGATATTAGACTCTATTACTACATTCTGGTCATTTCTGAGTGTTCTTATGGTTATGGGTTTCAATTTATAGTGCAAAGATTATGATCTGATTATGATCTTATTTCAGACCAAAGTGAGCAGGGTTTTTTTTGTTTTTGGTTGTGTGTGTGTGTGTGTGTGTGTGTGTGTGTGTCTAGGTGTGGTGTTTTACAGAGGGTTTTGCTGTGTCACAGTCCCCCTGCCTCAGCCTCCCATGTGGCTGGGACTACAGGCACATGCTACCATGCCTTTCTCTTTCAGACAGGTCTTGCCTGCTCCGCTGTCTGAGCTGGCCACAAGTGATATGACCCTTCTCATCGTCACTGCCTTGTTCTCAGGTTCAGGGGCATTGCAAATCATGCTAATACACCACCAAATACGCTGTTGCTGCTTCTAAGTGCCATCCTGTAAATGTGCCTTACTAAGGATGGGAAAGGCACAGTGAGAACTGAGGCCTAGGCACGCTCTGTCCTCGTCACCTCGAATCCCCGTGGCCTGGGTAGGCACGTCGGACACCTCTGAACCTGTGCAATGGAGATGGCTGTGGTGAGGACAGAAGCAGACGGCACATGAAGCGGGTGGCACGGCAGACCGGTCCATGCCAACTCTTTCCTCTGTCTCCTCAGAAACTCAAGTCTGATATTTTGAACCTAAATAAACCTTCAAAAGTCATCAGGGTAAAAAGCCTGACCTGACATCCACAGACTAGCCACCCTTGGGTGGAGCCCGCAGAGACAGGGCCCAGCTGAGCCACTGCAAACAAGGACCTGTCCATTCCAGCAACAACTGGTGAGCATCAGGAAGCGAGTTCTCTTTCTCTTTATTATAAAGGAGGTAAATCCATTTTTGGTCTGGCCTCACTCAAAACAATAAGCTCTCTGTTGTTATAAGGATATCATAAAATGAAATTTGAGATTTCTACCTTGCTTTCTAAAAGAACCAGCATGACCAGGTGTTCAACGCAAAAGTATCTAAAACCGTAACAGTAGCTACATGCATTTAAAGCCAGTGTAATATTAAGACTGTGAGCTGTAAAGTTAAGTGTGACTATCAGTTTCTTCATCTATAAAATGGGTATAATGTCTATCTTACCAAATTGTGAGTAGGAGGAGTGAAATAGCTGTTATATATTATTATGCAATTACTATAGAGCCTACTCAATAAAAAGATAACCTATGTGCTTTTTTTTTTTTTTGCATTTTGAATATTCTAACATGTTAAATAAGACATTCCCACTTGGCTGGGAAGCGAGGAGCCTGTCAGGGGAGAAGAGAATTAAGTTAAAAAATAAAATTCTAGGGATGGTATAATGGCTATGTTGCTAGACTCCCATGTAGCTGACCACAGTTCGAGTCCCAGATCTGGTGGCTTAAACTCACACTGGGTGCATGTGCATGCGTGCCCAAGATGCCAAGAGAGGAATGGAAGAGAAGGGATTGTGGCGTGGCCATCCTCCCTGGGAGGTGATTTCTTGCTTTCTGTCTCTCTGTCTCTCTCTGTCTTTCTGGCAAACACACATGCCCTATAGCAAAAAAATACTCTCCAATACACACACACACACACACACACACAATTCTATAGACAGGGCAACAGGTGGCATGGGGTTAAGGCACTGGATCCCACTGATCAACTATGCCATTAGACTCCCAGACCCAGCGGCTTGAAAAATCACACCAGGCACACGTGCACACATGCCCCAAATCCCATGAGAATGGAGTAGAAGGGACTGTGGTATGGCCATCCCCACTCGGGGGTGATTTCTCACTTTCTCTCTCTCTGTAGAGTGCATGTGCTCTATGGCAAAACCTTAAGAAAAAAGAAAAAAAGACAAGAAGGAAAGAAAGAAAAAAAACACACCAGGCACGTGTGTGCAAGTGCCCAAGACGTGAGGGAAGACTAGAGGAGAGAGGATTGTGGCGGGGCTAACCCCTCCAGGGGGAAATTTCTCTCCCTCTCTCTCTCTCTCTGTCTCTCTCTCTGGTGAGTGCTCACAGCCTATAGCAAAAACTAAAATAGATAAGTAAAATAAATATGTATAATTCTATGGATGACCTACAAAAAGGATCTTCAAAAAGTTAATGGAAAATGTATATTATATTTTTAAAATGGATTTTAAAAAATGTTTATGCCAAAATAACCCTGTACTTCAATTCCATTTTTCACAATTTTTCTGAAGCCCCCTTGGATATTCTTGGATTACTCATTTGCAGCTTAATTGATCAGAAGAATTTATGTAAAACCTAGGGAGGCCTGTCTCAACAACACTGACGAAGAAATACAATTTGAGGGGGGAAAGACCAGTGAAAATTCTGGAGAAACAGACTTTGTAATAAGTATAAACCAAGAGAAGTGTACCTTTTTTCTTTTGAGAAGTGTATCTTTGCTCGGTTGCATGGAAGATGAAACGTGATGGCATGAACGAATGAGGAAAAGGAAGAGAGGGAAGAGAGATCATGAAGCACTTAGAGGAAGGGCAGGAAGCTGCCTGACACGGAGATGACTCCTCCGTCAGGGAAACAGGCCACAGGGACGAAGGAGCTACCTCCAGCCGAATCCCATTATCACTCGTGGCCCTGGGGTCTTGGTCCCAAATTCTGATGTACTGACTCTGGCCTCCCTTCCATGCATTTTCATGCCAATAAAGCTGCTGAAATTGAAGAAGAATTGAATTTGTGAAGCTTTTTGGCATAAATAATGTCATATTGTAAAGTCAGGCTAATAACAACCAGGATGCCCTTAATGCACTTAAGAAAAACCATCTGATATGTGTATCCCTCAGTGTGGTTTGAAATTTCCCTCGGCCTACAAAGGAAAATATTTTTAGCATGTAGCACACTTTGTAACAGACACATAAATGCACTAAAAATATAATTTTAGGAAAGCATCTGGATTTGATCATTTCTACCCCGAATAGGTTCTACTTTCTCAATATAGGAACATTGTAACATTTTTCTAAAAAATATGCAGCAATCACTAGCGATTTCTCATAAACATTTCATTACTGGTAACGTTTTTTTTTTTAAGGAGCAGACACTCAAATGATTTAACTAGAAAGCAGCACAAAAAATGAGGTCGTCCCTCACGAGCAGGCTTTAATGTGCTCCCTTCCTTCAAAAGACAACCTACAACTCCAACTTTCTCCCCAATATTATTTTGGCAACAGGCATAAATGGATATTTTATTTTTATGTCTCAGACATAAAAATGTATCTTATGTATTTATGTCTCAAACATAAAACTGTGTCTTGAAATAAATGCCACTGTCAAAGGTAAAACTGACTGGGAGTTATTATGGATCTGTAAGAATTTCAAGACTAACAAAATTATTGAGTTGTCAGAAAAGTCATGTCGCATTTTTGTGTAGAAAAAAATACGTCATGACTTTTCCACCAACACAAGAGCAAAAGTTTTTTCATTTCCTCCTAGTCAAACAGATTTATAGTTAATATCTGTGAATAATTGATGTGAATTAGAAGCAAATGCCTATCTTTCAGTGATCAGGTAGGATAAATGCTCTTTTAGATTGATTATTACTTAAACTTTCTCTCAATAAGTCTGCAAGTACAATTTTCCAGCATGAGAGAAAAGCAATCCAGTTTCTTGATAGTATAAGTTTGTACAACACCATGCAGGATGAAGTATATAAAAACTTTCCCCATACCAATCCAAACTAAGGGCAAGTTATTTTGGTTTTTGGTTTTTAAGAGAGATTTTTGCTATTGGGCACGTGCATTCCTGGAGAGAGAGAGAGAGACAGAAAGCAAGGAATCACCCTCCTCTCCACCTCCAGAGATGCCCATGCTATAATCCCTTCTCCTCCGTTATTCTCTTGGGAGTTTGGGCACACACAAATATGCACCCGGTGTGGATTTTAAGCTGCCAGGCCCAGGACTTGAGCCACAGTCAGCCATGTGGGAGTCCAGCGCCTTAACCACTACACCATCTGCTGGCCCCACTAAGGGCAAGTTTTAAGTCAGAGTGCAATTCAACAGATTCCAAGGATGGAAAGGAAACCAGAAAAGTCAATCTCAACTTTCCTCATTTCAGAGGCAGCCAGGCAGACCTGGAGCTCAAGACTCAGAGTGGCCCCTGGGCATACCACAGAGACTCTGTACTCCACCCAGTCCCGGTCCCTTCATTCCCCAAAGAAGCACTGAGATCTCAGAGAAGGTAAGTGGCTTGTCTGAAGACACACAGCTGAGTGACAGTAGGGCTTACTCTAAAACTTTATTTAATGATTACTGCCTTTTTCATCCAATGGAGAATTGCCTTTCCTGAACAAAACTTCAGGATGATGTGCTCTGTGAGAATGTCAATTTGGGCTCTCCTCCTCTACCAGCCTCCACTCTTATTTTTAACCTCCAAATAAAGTTGCCTGACATTTTGTGCATCAGATTGTTTGGAGCTCACTTACAGCGAGATGGTAGTGGTTATGACTAAACAGGATGAGAAGCAGAAAATATTGAGCTCGGAAAGGGACTGGCCTGGAAGGACAAGGCCTCCAGTAATCATCTGAACATACTCATTACCGAGTGCCAATAAAAAACGGACAGCCGTCACACAGAGGTGTGTGACATGAATGCTGCCCTTTCTTAAACATACATCTGGATCTGGGCAGTTGGACAATCATTGACTGTGACCCTGACCTGTCTGGCTGTGCTCCTGACACCCTCCTGTTCTGGGTCAGGATAGGGGACAACTTGAGGGCGAAAGCCAAGGACTCTAGTTAGAAGTTTGTTTTTGAAAGCAAACAAGAGGACACAGGAAATATGCCTCAAACGCTTTAGAAGGTATATAAAGACACGTTTTGTTTGTCTGTTTGCTTTTTCTGGTATGTGATGGTGGCCTTTTACTTATTATCTAATTTAGTTTCCATCCCAAGGGAGAAATGGCTGTATCTTTCCAAAGACAAACTAACCTAATCTCTACATACATCCACACTAACGCACATCAAGAAATATATTTGCTCTTTGATAAAAAGTAAAACCCAGTGTTTCCTATGCAACACATTCATACCAGATTCACGGGGCTATTATCTAGAAAGATCTAATGGAGGAAGGATGTGTATACCCATGACACAGGCTAAAGGAAAGTCCTAAGTGAGGTCCACATTTTGCACCATGGAAGAATAGGAAAGAGTTTCAGGGACAAGAGTAGTCATCATCCCTGCTCGGGCTCCTTGCTGCATTCCTTTGTTATCTAATCACAAACTTTCCCCTTTTTGGGGGGGGGGCGGGGAGAGGTTTTGGCTATAGGGCGCGTGCACTCGCCAGAAAGACAGAGAGGACAGAGAGAGAAAGAAAGTGAGAAATGATCCCCCAGGGAGGATGGCCATGCTGCAATCCCTTCTCCTCCATTCTCCTCTCAGGATGTTGGGCACGCACACACATGCACCCGACATGAGTTTAAGCCACTGGGTCTGGGACTCGAACCGTAGTTGTCTACATGGGAGTCCAGTGACATGGCCATTACACTGGTCCTATCTAATCATAAACTTTTATAAATGCTAAGGCAATGATGAAACCAAGCTGAACTGGATTAGGAGCAGCACTACTAAAAAATACAAAATATCAGGGGCCAGCAGGTGGCATGGTGGTTAAGGCACTCGACTCTCACATGGTAAACCATGGTTCAAGTTCTGGATCTGGCAGCTTGCCTTTTCACTTTCCCTCTTTCTTTATTTCTCTATGGTGAGCACATGTGCTCTGTTGCAAATTAAAATAATAATAATAAAAAATAATTCTTCTAAAAAATACAAAATGTCTTAGTCAGATAGATGAAGGATTGTGAATTCTGGACATGAGCCTCACCTCTGTCACTAACTAGAGCTGTTAAGAAATGCAAGCTTGGGGCCAGCAGAGGGTGTAGTGGTTGCATTGCTGGATTCCCACATGACCAACTATGGTTTGAGTCCCAGACCTGGTGGCTTCAAACTCATGCCAGGCATGTGTGCATGGCTGCCCAAGATCATGAGAGGAGAATGGAGAAGGGATTGTGGGTGTCCAAACAAACAAACAAAAAATAAACAAAATAAACAAACAAAAAGAAAATTGAAAGAGTTCCAAGCTTGGGTAGATGTCTACACCTCTCCCAATGAGAAGAAGGTGCAGTTTTCTAAGACGCAGTTCTATCCTATGATTTAAAACAGGCTGTATGTCATATAATATCATTTCACTGTGAAGCCATAGAGGCCACACCTAAGAATACTAAACCATGCAGTGATTAAATAGGTCTCTATTTGGTAACATGTACCGGTGTAGCCTGCAACAGCTCTCAACAAAAGAGAAAGAAAAGGAAAAACAGCTCTATGCTCTGAAAGTAGCCAAGTGCTTGGGATGGCTTTCCTCGTCAGCAGGTGCTCTGCCGGCAGGGGCTGGTACAAGGTGCTGTGAGCACTGGGGAGGCCGCGCTGGGACTGCTGGCCCCACCCAGGATGCTGACCTCCTGTATAACCATGCTGTGCAATGTCTAACAGCCAAGGGGTCAGGAATGTGGGCATCCACATGTACAAGTCAGTGAACTGCTGCTTCTCGGGGCTTTACCCTCTGGGTCAGGAAAGACCATAATGTAAATATGAAATAACCTGCCTTTGATGATGTACCGCCCAGAATATATCTTCTGGGAGTCTAATAAAAGAGAATGGAACAGTTCTTAAAAAGAAGAATCAGATGTTTTTCCATGAAGGTAAGATTTATATCTGAACCTGGTATCACATCTTTGTCCTAATTCTTTGAGTTTTCATTTTTCTTCTTTTAGGTGGAGCTAGGTCTCTCTACGAGGTAGGTAGAGCGTTATTACAGTGAACTGCTATTAGATGGCATAGTCCGTTAGGAGGTATGCACCGGTCCGCCCTTACGTACATCTCACTTTGGGTGCACAGTTCTTACAAGTCAGGGAAACAGGTAAGGCCCCTGCCATCAGATATGGTCCACCAGACTTTACACCTGAGGGTAATCACCCTGACTCCCTTCCCAATGAGCTAGCAGACTTGTGGCTGAGTGAAGCCTAATAGCTGAGTTTTTTTTTTTTTTTTTTCCTCAAAGATTGAGCCTCCCAGCTGAACACAGCAAATACAGGAAGTCAACCTCCACGGTCCCTCCTGAGTCTCAGACTCCGGGGCAGAGGCCTGCTGTGTGTGTGCTGGCCGATGGCGGGTTTGCAGCTCTCAGTGCTCACTGCCCAGCACGGTCTGAGCATGTCACAGAGCCAAATACTTGGTTCACTCTGGACGAAGATGAAATTAAGGAGTCTAACACCTTAGATGTTACTTCGAAAAGGAAAAACTTCTTTTGACAGAATATATTCCAGAGTACAACATAATTATGTATCAACTGGTCCCAACTTTACCTAGGATGATTGACTTAGCGGTGTGGGATTAGTCTGGGATCTGTAAACAACCACCTCAATGATTCTGATGACCAGGTCTCCCGAAAGGTCTCTAAGGCTGCAGAGCTCTACTTTCAGCAAGAACCGGCCTTATCTCTATGTTAAAATCTATTAATATATGCACACAGGCCACTCCCAACTGTCTTCATCAATTAGACAAAGAGTCTTTTTAAAGCGAGTGGCTCCTTCTTCCTTTTCCTTCTGGTTCAAAAGTCAGGGCAGAGGCAAGCCAGGTGGCGTGGTGGTTAAGGTGGCTGGACCCCATATGGCTGACTTCATGGTTTGAGTCCTGGACCTGATGGTTTGAAAAACACATATGGTACTTGTGTATGCATATCCAAAATCCCAAGAGGAGAACAGAGAAGGGATTGTGATATGGCCATTCACTCAGGGGGATGATTTCTCACTTTCCTTCTCTCTGTTTCTTTCTGTTGAGTACATGCACCCTATAAAAAAACTGAAAAAAAGAAAAAAATCATAAAAAATGGAAAAAAAAAATAGGGCAGGGCAGGTTTTCCCTAACTCCACTAAGGAAATACTAGATTCTCTTTACAGTGTCACACTCTGACTACATTTGTGTCCACCTGGGTGTGATTAGATAAATCTTTATTCTTTTTAAAGGAAAAAATTTTCAAACGCTCTTTATACCATACTCATATTCTTCCTCTGAGCTCCCTTTAAAAATATAGGTCTATGGAGACCAGCAGTTAGCATAATGGCTATGTCGCTGGATTCCCATGTAGTCAACTGCAGTTCAAGTCCCGGACCCGGTGGCTTAAAACTCATGCTGGGTATGTGTGCATGCATGCCCAAGATCCCTAGAGGGAAACAGAGGAGAAGGAATTGTGGCATGGCCATTCCCCCTGGGTGGTGATTTCTCACTTTCTGCCTCTCTGTCTCTCTCTGTCTTTCTGGCAAGTGCACACGTCCTATAGCAAAAACCTCTTCCCCCCCAAAAAAATAATAATAATAAAATAAACAAACAATAATTAAAAAAAAATAGGTCTATGGAGAAGAAGGGATTGTGGCATGGCTGTCCCCCATGGCAGGTGATTTCTCATGCACTTGCTGTCTCTCTCTCTCTTTCTGGCAAGTGCAAGTGCCCTATAGAAAAATTTAAAAAATAATAATGAAATAAAAAAAAAAAAAGAAAATACAGGTCTAGTCTGAGGTATGAGGATGCAGGCCTTGGATCTTTCTGGTCACCTTCCCCTGTGTTCTCCCTTGTTGGGAGGATTTGGGCACATCGTTGGCACGACATTAATCTGTGCTTGTTTCATGTGGCTTCATACTTCTTCCTTTGAAGGAGCCTGTATCTGTAGCTGGTCCACAGCCCACTGCATGCACTTTCTGGGTACACACTACTGGCTATCCCGCTAGTCAGTGCTGTTTTTAAAGAGTATCTATGGGGCTCAGCAGATGGCATAATGGTTATGTTGCTGGATTCCCAGATGGCCAACTGTGGTCTGAGTCCTGGACTCGGAGGCTTGAAACTCATGCTGGGCGCGTGTGCATGCATGCGCAAAATTCTGAGAGAAGAATGGAGGAGGAGAAATTGTGGCATGGCCATGCCCCCTGTAGGGGTGGTTTCTTGCATTCTGTTTCTCTGTCTCTCTCTGTATCTTCAGTAAGTGCACCTGCCCTATAGCAAAAATCTCTTTAAAAAAAAAAAAAGAGTATCCACATAGGGCCAGCCAGGTGGTACTTAAGTCAGCTATATCCCATATGGCCAAGTACATGGTTCAAGTCCCAAACCTGGGCGCTTGGAAAATACACCAGGTGCA